GAGATGATAATAACACATTTAGTGTATATAAAAGCAGGAATTCAGCTAATATGAGCTCTAATCTGAATTCATTCAAGATCATCTAGTGAGCACCAATGATGATGCTGTTAAAGCCATCAGAGAGCTCCTGGAGATCCTATTTGATGATGCGCTATCAGCGAGTCTCCAGCCTCTGGGTGAGTAAAAGACATAAAAAATAATCATGAAAAATTAAAAAGCTGAAAAACTGACTGTATTTTTGTGAAAACAGAAGTTGAGACAGTGATGACGACGGTGGCCGATGAAGCGGCGGCTGAAGCCACCCACAAACTCATGACCATGTGTCTGGACAAGACTGAGGAGGAACCTGCGGAGAAACATCTGGGTAAGTAAAGAAAATGACCAGATAGTTAGATAATAATAACACATTTAGTCTATATTAAAGCTTAATATGATCTCTAATCTGTCTGAATTCCCTCAAGATCATCTAGTGAGCACCAACGATGACGCAGCTAAAGTCATCAGAGAGCTCCTGGAGGTCCTGTTTGATGATGCTCTGACGGCGAGTGTCCAGCCTCTGGGTGAGTAACGGAAATAAACATATTACAATGAGAATGAAAGAGCTGGAAAACTGACCATATTTATTTGTATTAAAGCAGAAAATGAGATGATGACGATGGCTGACGAAGCGGAGGCTGAAGCCATCAAAGCACTCATGGACATCAACCTTGACGAGACTGAGGAGGAAACACTGGAGAAACATCTGGGTAAGTAAAGGAAATGAACAGATAGTGAGATGATAGTAACACATTTAGTGTATATAAAAGCAGGAATTCAGCTAATATGAGATCTAATCTGAATTCATTCAAGATCATCTAGTGAGCACCAATGATGATGCTGTTAAAGCCATCAGAGAGCTCCTGGAGATCCTATTTGATGATGCGCTATCAGCGAGTCTCCAGCCTCTGGGTGAGTAAAAGACATAAAAAATATTAATGAAAAATGAATAAACTGGAAAACTGACTGTATTTTTATGAAAGCAGAAAATGAGACAGAGATGACGATGGAGGATGATGTAGCTCAGGCAGAAGCCACAGATGAGCCCATCAACCTGGACCACGCTGAGCCATACGATGACCGATCTTTTGGTGAGTAAAAGAAATGGTCAGTGGAAATATTTCAGGAATGAAATCAGCTGGAAAACTGATCAAATTTATTGATGTGAATGCAGAGAATCAGATGACGAGGGATTGGATGATTTTGGCAACTAAATCCCTTAAAGCCCTCATAGGCATCCCCCTGGAGACCATTGAGGAGGAACCTGAGGAGGAACCTGAGGAGAAACAGCTGGGTAAGTAAAGACATGAACTAATGTCATAAAGAAAATACATTTAATTAATGTTAAAGTAGGAATTCTAATTAGTTTTAATTCATTATTTAAGATAATCTGGTGAGCAACACTGAACACAAAACAGGAACCAGTGAGCTCCAGGAGATCCAGCTGGAGGAAGACGTTCCAGCGAGTGTCCAGCCTCTGGGTGAGTAAAGGACATAAAAAATAATAATGAAAAATTAATAAACTGGAAAACTGACTGTATTTTTATGAAAGCAGAAAAAGAGACAGTGATGATGATGGAGGATGATGTAGCTCAGGCAGAAGCCATAGATGAGCCCATCAACTTGGACCACGCTGAGCCATGCGATGACCGATCTTTTGGTAAGTAATGGAAATGGTCAGTGGAAATATTTCAGGAATGAAATCAGCTGGAAAACTGATCAAATTTATTGATGAATGCAGAGAATCAGATGACGAGGGATTGGATGATTTTGGCAACTAAATCCCTCAAAGCCCTCATAGGCATCCCCCTGGAGACCATTGAGGAGGAACCTGAGGAGGAACCTCTGGGTGAGTAAATGAAATAAATCTCAGACTCTGGAGTCGGAACACAACGGAACATCTGTTCTCACCAAATATAATGGCATGGATGTACGGTTCTAGGAAAAGGCCTCAATTTGTATAGGACTGTTACATGATATGGAGATGCTCTGATCAGTAAAAAGGCTCTTTACACTGAAGCCACCAAAGACACAGTAACTGTCTACCTGGATGAGACTGAAACTACGGAGAACCTTCTGAGTGAGTGACAGAAAGAACTGTAAAACATTCTGATGATGACTAGAACAGTTCTGGTGTGGCTCTGGTTTTGATGGATACTTGATAGGGTACTTTAGGTGGCTATGAGGTGGTGGCTAATTTGTTTCTAGGTAGTTTTATGATATTGTAGCATGTTCTAGAAATGTTCTGCATGTTTTTTCTGGGTTATTGTTCTCCTACAGTTATTCTCTGAGTTTTTTCTGACAAAGACTCTTAATGTGAAGGTGGGGCTGGTTCACCTTTGGGGGTTTGTGTGTCAGATCAGACAGGAACTGGGTGTCAGTTGGAGTTGAGTGCTGATAGAGTGCAGAAGTGAGCTGAATGTAGAGCTGTTAGCTAACGGCTTGTGCATCAGCCGTGTGTCCTTCAATAGCATTAAACATTACAGTATTTTAAACGGTTGCTATGGTGTTGCTATGGGGTTGCTAAAGTATCCAAAATAGTTCATAGGTTCAATAGTTACATTTGTTTTCGTGTTTTGGTCATTGCTATGGAGTGGCTAGGTCGTTGCTATGTTATCCCAGATGGTTGCCAGACTGCTGTTCATTGGTTAATGTTATTCACAATAAATGTAAATATAACATTTAGATAAACTGATTTGAAATATGTTGGAACTTAAATGCTGGCTACTATTTCTGTGCTCCAGGACAGACTATCAGAGAAAGGCTTGGTTACTGATTTATCTCATTTTGTTCTCTAGCTGAAATGGATGTAAAGAACAGCGACCCTCCTGAGGAAGTAGCTGAGACCAAAAAGAGAAAAACCAGGAGAGGAACAAGAGGAAAAGGACGGAAAATCAACTATAATAAAGACCAACGTCCACCAAATGACAAACAAGATGAAGCCAAGAATGAGAGCAGAGAATCTGCACATAGAGGAGGAGCAGAGGGGCTCAAAAGAGAACAGGTACAGGTACAGCTTTTAGTCCTGGTCATGGTCCCTAAACTGTTATTCTTTTAGTCTTAGTCATGGTCCCTAATCTGCGGATCATGTAGATCTTGTCATGGTCACTACACTGTTGATTTTTTAGTCCTAGTCTTAGTCCCAAAACTGTGGATATTTTAGTCCTAGTCATGCTCCCTAAACTATGGTTATTTTAGTCTAGTAATGGTTCCAAAACTATGGATCTTTTAGTCCGAGTCTTGGTCCCTAATCTGTGGATCTTCTAGTCCTAGTGATTAATCTGTGGATCTTCTAGTCCTAGTCATGGTCACTAAACTATTAAGCATGTTCCTTTTTATAGAGAACCCAACAAGTCTTTTTTCCGAGAGGTTCTTCTGGACAGAACTGCAGTGATGAACGCAGGCAGGTTGTCCATCCCAGACGGGAGCAGGAAGAGCGGGATAGCGGATATAATGCAGTCCCGTACACCTTGACCTTCTGGAGGACAGGATGGAGAGAGGGAAGAACGACAGAAGGTTCTAGAGTGGAGTCCACTCGACAGAGAGACACGAGGAGACAAGAGAACTTCTTCATTGGAAAACAGAACAGGTACAGCTTTTAGTCCTAGTCATGGTCCCTAAACTGTTATTCTTTTAGTCCTAGTCTTGGTCCCTAATCTGTGGATCTTTTAGTCCTATTCATGGTCCCTAAACTGAGGTTCTTCTGGACAGAACTGCAGTGATGAATGCAGGCAGGTGGTCAGTCCCAGACGGGGGCAGGAAGAGTTGGATAGTGGATATAATGCCCTCCCATACACCTTGATAGTCTGGGGGACAAGATGGAGAGAATGGGGTCCATTCCACAAAAGAGAGAGAGGAACGTGAGTTCACCCTAAACAGCCACACACACACACACACACACACACACCACACACACACACACACACACACACACACACACACACACACACCACACCACACACACACCACACACCACCCACACACACACACACACACACCACACACCCCACCCACACACACACACACCCACACACCACCCACACACACACACACACCGACCCCCCACACACACACGCCCACACACACCACCACACACACACACACCGACCCCCCCACACCCACACACACACACCACACACCCCCCACACACACCCACACCCACCCACACCACCCACACACACACACACCAAACCCCCCACCCACACACACCCACACCCACCCACACACCACATAAACACACACACCGAACCCCCCCACCCACACACACACCCCCACCCACACACCCTCACCCACACACCCCCCACACACACACACCGACCCCCCACCCACACACACCCACCCACACACCACATAAACACACACACATCGAACCCCCCACCCACACACACCCACACACACCACCCAAACACACACACACCGACCCCCTCACCCACCCACACACCACCCAAACACACACACCGACCCCCCACCCACACACACACCACCCAAACACACACACACCAACCCCCCACCCACACCCACACACACCACATAAACACACACACCGAAACCCCCACCCACATAAACACACACACACACACACACACACACACACCCCACACCCCCACATACACACTCACACAGAACAAAAAAATGACACACATACACAAAAACTGACACACAAACACATTTAAAATGTTTGCTATCCGGTGTCGCCCAGAGGAGGATGGGTTCCCCTTCTGAGTCTTGGTTCCTCTCAAGGTTTCTTCCTGTTGCTCTTAGGGAGTTTTTCCTTGCCACTGTCGCCACTGGCTTGCTCATGGGGGCTCGGACCCGGATTTCTTTCTGTAATGCTGATTTTTCTGTAAAGCTTTCTTAAAAGAAGACATTGCACACACACACGCACACACACACACACACACACACACACACACACACACACACACACACACACACAAAAAAGCATCAATAAAAAATAAAAAATTAAAATATCTTGCAGCCTCTTTATTCTTTATTGTTTCTATAATCCATTTTTCAGACATTTTACTGAATAACCTACTGAGAGAACACAGGGTTTATTAGAGGTGTGATTTATCTAAAGGGTCCATATCATAGAAAAGCTTTTTCCTCACTTTTGAAAAATAAATTTGTTTGATGTTGTTTATAAACACTGCTGCAGTTTCAAACATCCAGCAGTCCATACAGTCGGCAGCAGTTTAGCCCCACCCATTCAAAACTGAATTGAACTGGTTTTTGAACGATACAGGACAGCCAATCACAACAGAGATTATTTTTATGTATATATATATATATATATAAAATTTATAGCGTAATGTTGACGGAACGCAAAAGCTGGAACTTGTAAGTGGGGAAGCGCAGCGCCTGGACAGTCTGTAGTCTCTGCTGCTTTCTGCTTCTCCTCCATCACCTCAAGCAGCTCCGCCTGGCTTCTGTCAATGCAGTGCAGCAGAGCTCTGAAGACCTCCTCACTGTCTGCTTTCTCCTTCTCTGTGCTTTTCTAACAGGAGACAATAATGACATTGTTAATGTAGCAGCTTTCATACGTAAAAGTGCTCAATGTGCTTTACGATATATTAATTAGCCTAAAACAGAAATAGAGAACAATAAGGAAAGTAAACACTTTTACAAAGAAATAAATATGAGTAAAACAGGGGATTTTAATAAAAATTACTGAAATTAAAACATGACAATAAAAGAGAGAAAACATAACCATTAGTTGACTTCTTAGTATTGTGCAATGTGAGGTAAAGTCTGACTTTTCTAAGGTGTTTTGGTTACACTGACATTGTGAAACTTAATACTGAGGTTAATCATTAGTTTCTCCCTCTGTACAACAGGACAAATTTCAGTTTTGCCCTCAAGGACTTCCAAGAAATTTCAACAGCCCTCATTTCAACAGGCACAGCAGAAATCTAAAGTAGCATGTGCAGTTTATTCCACATTCACTCAAACTATAGGGGAGTAGCATGTATAAGGAAAATAAAAGTGACCCCAGGATAAACCCTTGAGGTACTCCACAGATGCAGTTTAGTAAAGGAAAACTCATTTGTGAACCTGTGATTAAAGCAGGTTTTTATTAAATTTAAACATCACTAAGTTGGATTAAGTTAATTAATCTTTTAGTACATTTAGTTTTGATACTTAAGTACATTTGAAGGCAAATACTTTTGTACTTTTACTCAAGTGGAGGTCTGAAGAGAGGTCTTCTACTTTTACTGGAGTAAAAAGTAAAATTGGGCTCTACTTTAACTGAAGAACATGATTTGTGTACTTAGTCCACCACTGCTTATCACTAGTCTGTCTGAGGTCACTAGCAACATTTACCAAAGCTGTACTTGTATTATGACCTGACATAAATCCAGTTCAGACTCACTTTATTAAGCTCTACAGACTGTTTGACTTCCTCAATCTTCTTCAGTCGGTCCTGGATCATCTGCTGAACTTCTGCCTGTGTCTTTCCCAGCTGAGTCTATAAAAAAGGACAAAATATAACAAAACCACTCATTCATTTAAATACAAACACAACAGACAAGAGGCAACATTTCTCTAAATGTTCCTCACCTTCCTCTCTCCACTCTCCTCCTCTATAGGAACAGTGCTGTGAGTCTTGTGGTCTGTCTCAGTGCAGGACTGACACACACTCGTCTGGTCGTCTCTACAGAACAGCTCCAGGGGTCTCTCATGATTCTGGCAGATGTAGTCCTCCAGGTTCTCCACAGCGTCCATCAGTTTGTGCTTCTTTAATAGAGCGACTCTCTGATGAGGTTCCAGATGAGTCTTGCAGTAAGAGGCCATACAGATCAGGCAGGACTTCAGAGCTGCACAGTTGTTTTCACAGTAGTCACAGAGAACCTGAGATTTGTCAGGTTTCTCTGGAGCTCTGCTGGATTTGACCTGAACTGACTTCTTGAACTGAGCAGCCAGTCCAGAGATGAACGTGTTCACAGACAGTTCAGGTCTTGTAGGGAATTCTGTCTTACAAACTGGACACTGGCAGCGTGAACTGCTGTCCCAGCACTCTTTGAGACAGACCATGCACAAGTTGTGTCCACATGGAGTAGAGACTGGATCAGTGAACACATCCAGACAGATAGAGCACTGGAGCTGATCTTCAGACAGGAGACTGCTGGAGGAAGACATGACTGACAGAGGAGACAATTCATAAAAATTTAGTCGATTAATAAACACTATTGTGTATTTCTTTTAACTGAACGTCAACAGAAAAAGACATGTTCTCATGAAATGTGTATCTGAAATCAATCCTGTTCATCTGACTGATGAGCTTCACATTCTACCTGTTAATCATGAATCTGTAGCTGAACAAATGATCACAGTGACTGACAGAAATGATCTGAACAGCTGTAAGTATTTTCAGTAACAGACAGTAAGAAACTTAGACTCATTACCACTTTCACTTTCTCTCCTTTGGTCTGCTTTTCTGCTTCTTCAGAGTTGATCTGTAGAGTTTAACTGAGTTTCCTGACTGGAGAACCTTCAAACTGGAAACTGTGTCCTGCTGGAAGAACTGAATTCTGTTTATTAAACTCCCTTTACTCTTGTCTCTCCTGCGTGACGTCAGGTGGACTCGCCTGATTTATCATGACGACAGTTTGTTGCACTTGCAGGTTTGACCAGCAGGTGGCAGATATTTCCATCTGACTTACACAGGAGAGGAAACAGTGCTGAAAATCCCTACTTAAGTAAAAATACTGTTACTGAAGTGATAATTTACTTCATAATTTAGTTGAGTACAAATAAAAGTATTAATGAAGGACATTAAAAAGTAAATAAGTAAGGAAAGTCAGAGTAAATAAGTAGTTTATTGGAAAACTACTTGAATAATAGAGTCACTTTTTTACATTTGAAATCACAACCTGGAATATTTCTGAGTCGACTCGACATCAGAGAAAATAATCTGTACAATCAAAACTAAAGCAAGACATGATATAAACATGAGAAAACAGTTCTGAGAGCTGAGACTGATCACAGTGTGCTCTGCTAGTGACATCTACACATCTCTCTGTGAACTGTATAAGGAACAAGGTTTACATTAAACTACACGCCTGTCATGGATTATATGAGGCTTCCTAGTTTATTTGTGTCCAGTAAAGCAGTTTAAGAGTCAAATAACAGGTAGATCACTCAGTTTTAGTGACAGCCCTGCTGCCCATCAGCTTCCTAAACACTAGCTTACATTAACAGCTGTGAACATCTGCACACAGCAACATTCACAGCCTTCAATCTGTGTAAATTCACTGATACCTGTTTAGAACATTTCTACCATTAAAATCATTAACAACTACAGTAATTTATCCAGTTTAGATTTCGGACCCTCTGGCGTGAGAGAGTTCAGAGTCAGGCTGTGTTCTGTGATGAACTGACAGAGAACAGTCTCTGATGCTGTAGTATTGTCTGTAAGGTGAGTTTGAGGAGTAAATGTATTGTAGTGTTTACTGCTATTAAGAAGACACAGTTTACAAACTGCTGGGCTTTATTTTAGGATTAATTCTAATCAAGTGGAAACACCTGATTTTACTTGTTTAATCTGCCTGGAATAATTCTTTACAGCTCTACTCAGCTCTACATGCTGAACAGGATTATTCCAGACTGCTTCATTCACCATCTGCTCAGCTCTAACAGCTCTATTCAGTCCTGTGAGGCTCTGATGTGTATGAATAAAGGTACGTAGCTCTGTACAAACACTGTGAGCTTTTCTTTTAGCTCCCATTTAGAGACAAACAACATTAAACAAAACCTATTAAAATATTACTGAGCTAAAAGCAGCAGCTCCTCTATTCAGCTGTTCACTTCTTTACAGACACACACAAGAAAAGTCTATCAGTGTTTAAATGAAATGAAGAGTCTGAAACATCTGTATCAGTAAACTGAATAACTGTAAAGTTACTGAAGTTTTGATGTTATTGGGTCACTGTGACTGTTCTGTACTGTTCACCTGATGTTCACCTGATGAGTCAGTGTGAAAAATGCTCACAGCACTGTAGTGAGCACAGTGAGGCAGTGCTGGGTGTGAATTCTCCACCACATATATAATACATAATGCAAATACACCTATTTACACATCTGTTGTTACTATTATAATGAACTTGACTCTGGGAGGATTCTGCACTGTTACATCAGGTCTTGCTGGACTGGACTTTTTGTTTGTGTCTTTGATTAAGGGGCTCAAGGGGATTAAGGGGTTCAGAACTTTTGGCTGGTTATGATCACAAAAACACTGTCTGTTATATTAACTATTAAAAAAATACCTCCCAGCTGCACTGAATTAAATCCTGCTTCTTTATCAGCTAATGCTTGTTACGAATGAGCTAGCTTCCTTTACTGCAATATATTTTTAGTTTGGCACTTTAGGCTCACCTGTTTTCTGATAGACACCCATCAGCAGTTGTCTGCCCTCTTTTCTGCCCACTGAACTGGTATCAGAATTGAATACAATCTACTGTGAAATTAATTCAAGACACAGCTATGTTGCTTTAAACTGTGCAGTAATTCAGAACATGTATGTCTCACTGAAATGCAGTCATTACAGTGAAAACGTTAAATGCACACAAGACTGTGTTTAAAGCAGAGTGACATGCAGAAAACATGTCAGGATTGAAAGTCAAAGATCATTTGTATTTTGACAGACTTAGAAAAGCTAATTATAATGAAGCCTTTATGAAGAAGAAATGAAGAATTTGTACTGTTTACAGCACCAATCTGAATATAAAGAATCTATTATCAGATCATAAAATATTTAATTTAGCTTATGTTTATTTTAATACAGCAAATATTAATTAAAACTGCCATCTATGGAAAAAAGGGAAATAAAAAACATAGAAATACTCTTCAGCAAATAGTAACAGAATGTGTTTAATGGCAAAATTAAAGTCGTCTCTCTCTCTCTCTCTCTCTGTCTCTCACTCTCTCTCTGTCTCTCTCTCTCTCTCTCAGTCTCTCTCTCACTCTCTCTCTCTCTGTCTCTCTCTCTGTGATTTAATTATAATCTTCAAGCTGTCATTCTTTAAAAAGATAAAAAATAGAAATAAACATGGACCAAATGAATGTAACATTTAGATACGATGTCCCTGTTTTATTGTCTTACACTACAAGATGAAAATCAGTTTGAGTTTGATTTGAACAGAATATATTTAATTTAATCAGTTTTACAAAAGAATAACATGAGTTTAAATTTTATTGACATTTGTTGTACATTTGATAAGAGTCCCATAAACAAAACTACAACCTCATAAATGTTTACATTCAATATACACAAGTAAAAAAGAGCTTCATGATAAAGAGGCCAAAGTGTGAGTTTTTACTGTACATAAAAGCTGTGATTCCTACAAGACACATCAGTCACACTGATACTGACATTCTGCACTTTTCATTTATGTATTTAAATTAAAATGATTATTTTCTGATCCATTAATTAATTGGGTAGTGTATTTTGAGATTTATTTAATAATAATGTTTAGTTAAGCTCTGCAGTGCCACAGTATTACAGTAGCTTTTTCTGACATAATAAAGTGGATTTACAAAAACATTTAATCTTTATTTATGATGTTTAACAGGTTTGATGATCAGTGGTGCTGAGTTTTTACCGCCATAATTTTGACCGGGAGAAAAGTATGGATAGACCTTCTCAGTGAAAGACTGACCAGTGAAAGAGTAAATATGAGACCTGACCTCAACATCATAGAAGGAGACCAGACCCTCCTCATAATCCACAAACACCCCCACCTTCTGGGGAGCCTGTTTCAAGGAGAGGAGCAGAGAAAGAGATTCTGCTGCTATATATTCAGTCTCATTCCTCAATAACAATCTCCAGTATCCATCCTCAAGACTCATTGTAATCTTCCCCTTCTTGTTACTGGACTCTGTGGTCACTCCTAAATCCCACTCAGTCTTCCCACTGACCTGAACCTCATAGTAAAATCTCCCTGAGGAGAACCCCTCCTTTGCCAGAACACAGGCATAATAATCAAACCTCTCTGGGTTTTCAGGGAGATTCTGTCGTTTGTCTCCGTGTCTCACTTGTTTCTCATCATCAGACAGGATGAGTTGAGGATGAGCTGAATCAGGATCCAGAGTCACATCCACTGAGAGAAACACACACAATTTAAACCCATTTAACAACATGTGGAATGTAATAAAGCAGACTTATATATTTAGTCATGTGATCAGTGAAACTACAAACCTGCATACTGTTGAATTCTCTTCAGTTCTGTGTGGAAAAGAATAACTGAAAATATCATTTGCTATTAAAATATAACTTGTTGTTTAGTAAAATGTTTGTTCAGTATGAACCAAAAACAAGTCTTTATTAGAGAATAACCTGGAATTCAAGTATTTTAATACCCCATGTATCAAATATGCATTTCTGGTGTCAGAATCCTGATGACTTACTGAAACCAAATATTCTTTGTACAAAACACACCTCATCCTCAGAGACTCTTACTGATCAGTGAAGACTTACTGATCTCATCAATCTTCTTCATCTCCTTACTGAGCTCTTCCTGAAGCTGAGTCAGAGCTCTCCTCAGAGTCTCCACCCTCAGATGAGTGTTAATCCTGACGTCAGTCCAGTTCTTGGTGTGTGGGGGGCTGCAGAGGGACGGGTAAACCTACAGTCCAGCAGGAGAGAGGAGAAACCCCTCAGCATGGGGAGTGCTGTCCTGTGATGGACTGCATTACTATTGAGAAACAGAGGGACTCTGACCTGTAGGAGGTGGAGGTGGTCCTCAGTGTGGGAGAGCTGCTCCAGCTCAGTGTCTCTCCTCTTTAGCTCAGTGATTTCCTGCTCCAGCTCTTTAATGAACTCTTCAGCCTGCCTCTCTGCTGCTTTCTGCTTCTCCTCCATCACCTCAAGCAGCTCTGCCTGGCTTCTCTCAATGCAGCACAGCAGAGCTCTGAAGACCTCCACACTGTCTGCTTTCTCCTTCTCTGAGCTTTTCTAACACAAGACAACAACAATATTGACATTATTAATATAGAACTCTTTTAGTGCTGTTCAATAATTTAAATAAAATAAAAGAAAAGCAAAAGTCAATGTTTCAGCATCATGCAGTGTGAGAAATGTTTCTAAAGTTTTACCAATGCTGTCAATACACAATCTACAATTGAAGTAGTGTGAAGAACAGAACCAATGACTTGTAAAGCAAACTAAAATTGCCAGATATCATTAGCTCGTTAGTTTGCTGTGGAATTTAACACCCTGGATTTTTTAAACTGTCCAATGCTCTCTCAAAATACAGAAAAGTAGCAGCATGTACAAAGAAAATAAAAGTGGCCCCAGTATAGACACTCGAGGTACTCCATAGAAAAGTCACATTTTCCAGATACATATTAAGCAAGAGTAACAAAATACTGATTCATATTTGTAAAACCACTTCAGAACATTTACAGACAGTCCGGTCTAGTTTTCAAGTGTCCAACAGAATGATCTTCAGTTTTCTATAGTGTCCAACACGTTTAATGCACACTAATGTCCAAGTGGAGAAGAAATTATATTTTGTTCTCATTAATATTCTGGAATTTTTCATAGATTTCACAGTTCAAATTGATTGTAAAGATTGTGCAGTTTGATGAATTGATTTTCATTGTGCTAATTATGAGCATTCAGTAATGCCTGCATAGTAAATAAGCATTAAGACTCAGTTAAGACTCACTTTACTGAGCTCAACAGAGTGTTTGATTTCCTCAATCTTCTTCAGTCGGTCCTGGATCATCTGCTGAACTTCTGCCTGTGTTGTTCCCATTTGAATCTATGACAAATTATAACAATATCCTTTGAGGATTTCTTTTAATAGAAAAGTGGATAAGGTTAAGAATTCTGACTAAATATCTTGCAAAATAAATACTTTCCTCTCTCCACTCTCCTCCTCTATAGGAACAGTGCTGTGAGTCTTGTGGTCTGTCTCAGTGCAGAACCGACACACACTCGTCTGGTCGTCTCTACAGAACAGCTCCAGAGGTCTCTCATGTTTCTGGCAGATGTAGTCCTCCAGGTTCTCCACAGTGTCCATCAGTTTGTGCTTCTTGAATGAAGCGACTCTCTGATGAGGATTCAGGTGAGTCTTGCAATAAGAGGCCATACAGATCAGGCAGGACTTCAGAGCTGCACAGTTGTTTTCACAGTAGTCACAGAGAACCTGAGATTTGTCAGGTTTCTCTGGAGCTCTGCTGGATTTGACCTGAACTGACTTCTTGAACTGAGCAGCCAGTCCAGAGATGAATGTGTTCACAGACAGTTCAGGTCTTGTAGGGAATTCTGTCTTACAAACTGGACACTGGCAGCATGAACTGCTGTCCCAGCACTCTTTGAGACAGACCATGCACAAGTTGTGTCCACATGGAGTAGAGACTGGATCAGTGAACACATCCAGACAGATAGAGCACTGGAGCTGATCTTCAGACAGGAGACTGCTGGAGGAAGACATGACTGACAGAGGAGACACGGAGACACCATGAGGGAGATTTGAGACCAAAGAAAACTTCCTACATTTTTCATAACAATTTTTAGTCAAAACAAGAAAGTGTGTCCCAATTCAGGGGCTGCATCCTGCGTAGTTGTGTCCTTCGAAGGCTGAACTGTAATGAGAGGGTCTGCCATAAGGCGGATTTCCTTACTGTTGCACCACGAAACGCCGCTACTGTCAAGTTCTTATAAAATTCTTTAAAGATGGAGCCAGAAACTTTCATTTTAGTTTTTTTATTTTTTCATTTATTAGAGCTGGAGATGCTTCACAGCCAGCTACTGATGTACTGTTATAGCGTTAGCGATTCGACTCAGTTTAAACCCAATACTTATATTTAAAAGTGACTCAGCCACCATTTACTTTTCTGTCGATGCCCCATTGTTCTTGAATCCTTGCCGGCACACAATGAACATCGGGATATGTTGGCTGGCGAAGGATGCACCCATAGATATACATACCTAGATGCTGTGTTGCCTGTTGTTCTCTATGTGAGGCGATACGTCTGCACGTCAGCCATGTTGGTGCGGTCAAGATCCGCTTGTGAACAAATTCACTTGTACTGAGAGACGAAGAGTCTCAGGATTAAATCAGCCACAACTTCCTTACTATTCAACCGATTTTCACCAGATTTGTTTTGTTATAATCCTCAGACACAGATTAATCTAGGCTGCACTGCTCTTGGTAGCTTTTATTACTTTAACAACTGATCCTCCCAATTAGCCGTCCAGACCAGCAGGAAAGTATTCAGTCTGCACCTGACATTAAAAACCGCGTTTAGCGCGAGCTCCGGTAGAAACATCAGCAAATCCATCAATGTGTGAATCACTTCTAATCTTCATACACACAAAAATAAAATAACCCCCCAAAACACAGTAAGAAGGACGAAGCTGAATGGCTTCCTATTCACAAGCTTTCTTCTTTTATCGTTTCACCTTAACTTTCTGGTGCCTGAAGCTGCACCATTTAAGGTGGAACGGGAAAATTCGAACAAGAAGCTAGCTAATTCACCATTTAAGGTGGAACGGGAAAATTCGAACAAGAAGCTAGCTAATTCACCATTTAAGGTGGAACGGGAAAATTCGAACAAGAAGCTGGCTAATTCACCATTTAAGGTGGAACGGGAAAATTTGAACAAGAAGCTGGCAAATAAGAAACTGACTTCAGGTTCGTGTAAGAAGGTGCGAACGTTAATCTATTATGAATATCTACAAGGGTTAATAAATGCTATAATTTACCTACAAAGCAATAACCATGATAGTAAATAAATAACTACTACATCAAGTTAAGATCCCCTGAATAGACTATTCAATGAAATAAACTTAAAAGAAAACCAGAGGAGAAACAATCACATCAACAGGTTCTCTGTGCTTCACCAACCACACAACCATATCTACACATAAACATCACACAGACATGAGCGTGGATCACTGCGTTCCCTCCGTTATATAATCCTATCCCACTTTCTGAGTGAAATATTCTTGAAATAGTGTAATTTTGCACAGTATCTTGCCTAAACTTCCGCTCTGTAATGGTACTGAATGCAGCCCAGCAGCGATGTTGACCGCCCTAAAATGGCGGCGCAGTTGACGTGCCTAACTGGACCCATCTAGGTATGTATATCTATGGATGCACTTGTTGGATCCTTCGTTGCCATGGAAAAAAGGACACATTTCTCGGCCGCATTTGAAGGAGCTTCGAAATGAGACAGTCTAGTTGCGCCGCTATGACGCAATCGGCCTTCAAAAGCAGCCTCTGAAGGATGCAGCCCCTGAATTGGGACACACTGGAAGAATATTAAACTCCTTTATTTCCTGTTTGGTTTCAGCGCCACTCCAAAAGCGTTTTGCTGCCATCTCGCGACTGTTCTCACACATGCGCAGACTGAGAAATCCGATAGCAATCGGAGTAAGAGTTCACTGAGAAATCTGATTACTGAGCTAAAATCCAGCCTCTTTATCTGATTTCTTAATCGGATTTCTAGATCGGAGTATGGTGTTTACACGACCATTTGAATAATTGGATAACTGCAGAAATCCGATTATGTTCTCATGAAGTATGTACTCATCTTAAATCAGTCACATTAGTCTGACTGATCAGATTCACATTCTACCTGTTAATCATGAATCTGTAGCTGAACAAATGATCACAGCTTCAAATGTTAAATACAATCAACAGATTTAGACAAAACACGAACAGCAGTGATGGTAGAAATGATCTGAACACCTGGATGTGTTTTCAGTAACAGACAGTAAGAAACTTAGACTCATTACCACTTTCACTTTCTCTCCTTTGGTCTGCTTTTCTGCTTCTTCAGAGTTGATCTGTAGAGTTTAACTGAGTTTCCTGACTGGAGAACCTTCAAACTGGAAACTGTGTCCTGCTGGAAGAACTGAATTCGGTTTTTGAAGCAGCTCTGCATTAGTTTCGTTTCTCCTGAGTGACGTCATGAGGTCACTGCATGGTGATAGTTTGTTGTACTTGCAGGTTTTGGCCAGCAAGATATTCACTAACTGAATTACAGCATCTCAATAAGCAGCTTTTGCTCAAAAAGGCACGAAGCTCTGTACAAACACTGTGAGCTTTTCTTTTAGCTCCCATTTAGAGAAAAACAACATTAAACAAAATCTATTAAAATATTACTGAGCTAAAAGCAGCAGCTCCTCTATTCAGCTGTTCCACTACTGACATTTCTAGCTTACAGCTCCACCGAACTCAGTTATTACAGCCTTCCACCAGCAGATGGCGCCATACAATAACATCTACTGATTCTTATATATGCCCTGCGATGGACTGGCGACCTGTCCAGGGTGTATCCTGCCTTCCGCCCAATGACAGCTGGGATAGGCTCCAGCACCCCACCGCGACCCAGAAGGATAAGCGGTTTAGATGATGGATGGATGGATGATTCTTATATACAGTGTTCCAGTTATATTGAAGAGTCCACACAGTACAAACTGAGCATGTAAAGACTCAGAGATGAGAAACACTGAACTTGTCCAGCTGCTGCTGGACGATGAGTGAGGTGGGTGTGTTTTACAGTGATGGTAGAGAGACCCCCTGCTGTCATTTACACTCAGTGAGAACAGTCAGAGTCTTAAATCTCAGCTGCACATTCAGTCCTGAGTGAGTTCTCCACTGAGAGACAGTTACTCAGGATGAAGGGATTCATTTCATTGTTCTCTTTACTAATTGAGCCTCCCTGTAACTACACACCGATTTACTAATGATCTCCTGTGTATAACACTTTCATATTACAGACACATTTATAATAATTTAACCTAAACTTCAAGCTTTCATGCTCTAAAGAAATACAAATACATAAACAAAACGAACATACCTTTTTTCCAATTGAATTATTTGCTTATTTTGTTTATTGTACCCCTGTAAAACAGGGAATGAAGCCCACCCTTAACGAGTGTCCATTTACTGAAAATCAAATAAACTGGAACAGCAGACTGTTCTGTTCATATAACACAAAAAAGAAAATCTTTAAAAGGGGAATGCTGCCCAACCATCACGACACGATGCCCCCTAATCTGGGTCGTTTTTGTCATTTGTCATCTAGATTTTACAGAATGTATAAATTTTCATGTCAAATTATTTGTAGTTATTAATTTGCGGTACAACAGGCCGCTATCAATTTGTCTTAATGGTTCCACTTCATTTTAATAATCATAGTAAAATACAAAACATTTGAAATGTTGACTTTGTCTATTACTTGAATGGGTATTGTGGTTGTATGAGTTATACAATCATATTCAGGAAATTAATTGAATGGTCTTATTATTAAATGTTGTCTAGTTCTAGTTAATAATTACCAGCATGTAACTGAAGAACTTTGTATCACTGATGAAAACGTAACCAAATATACATTTTTGTACCATGCTAAAGGAGACCATTACCCTGGGTAACGTTTGGAAGGGTTTCTTACCTCAAAGGTCTAAATTCATATTTTCACTTCAAAGGGAAAGAAAATGTCCTCTCAAAACCAAATGCACTGATCTGCAACACTTCCATAGTCACAGCATTAAAACAATGTACCATTCAATTTCATTCAAATAGCATGTTTCGAAACCAGGACAGTCACAAAGCAGCTTTACAGGGAGAGTTTTGGAGCACAGATTTATGAACTGAGGGGTAGAAATATAGGGAGAGTGTGGAGAGATTAGAATTGGACTTTTAAGAGAAGAGTTGGGAAGGTACGTTAATGCTACAGGATCATGGATACTGGAGTAACATCTGTCAGGAGGTGGAACAGCTCAGAGATGAATGAAAAGAAAATGAAAATGAAAAGGTAAACATAAGAGAACAGTTTTATTATTTTATGAACTAAAAACTCATGTAAATAAGTGATAAGAGCTATATATATATATATATATATATATATAATACAAAGACAACACATCAGATGTTATCAGTGGTAGAGGCTTCTTATCAGTGTACAGAGGCTTGTTATCAGTGCACAGTTCAAAGGCCAGCATCTCTGATGGTCTGGAGTTGCATTAGTGCTCATCTGTGAAGGCACCATTAATGCTGAATGATGTATACAGGTTTTAGCAACACATCGCTGCAGCTGTAACAAAACCTTGTATCTCAATTTTGGTCATTTTACACTTTTTTTAGAATATTTGAAAATGCAAATGTCTCTTTGCAACGTGCCGAAATTTTGTGGTGATTGGACCAATAGAAAGGCTCCAAAATTACTTAAAAGAAAATCTTTCTCCATTAACCTCCATTCAAAGCTAAGAATGCTTTTTCCTTCTCCTATGAATTTATTATTTTGGAGATGAAAGGTTTTGTTCGGACTACAGCGACATGCTGCCATTCAGATAAAGACTTTTTCAAGCACGTATTACAACAGCATGGTTCAGTAGCAAAAGAGTCCGGGTGCTAAACTGACCTGCAGTCTGCCTGCAGTCCAGACCTATTAGTCATTAAAAACATGTGGTGCATTATGAGACAAAAAAACAACAAATGAGCCCCCCGAACTGCTGAGCAGCTGAAATCCTGTATCAAGCAAGAACAGGAAAACATTTCGCTTTCAAAACTACAGCAGTGTCTCCTCAGTTCCCAAACCCTTACAGAGTGTTGTTAAAAGAAGAGGTGATGAAACACAGTGGTAAACAGGCCCCCGTCCCAACTTTTTGGAACGTGTTGCTGCCATCAAACTCAAAATCTTGTATTCTAACCTGGACACATAAGGCAGCACTGTGGGGATCATGTTCTTCAAATTCTCCAGTGCATTCAACAACATACCGCTTGTGCTGGTAGGGGAGAAGCCTCAGCTGATGCAGGTGGATGAATCCATCATTGCATGGATAATGGACTATCTGACTGGACGACCCCAGTATGTGCGACTGCAGGGCTGTGTCTCAGACAAGGCTGTGTGCAGTGTCGGGGCACCCCAGGGGACGGTGTTAGCGCCATTCCTGTTCAACCTGTACACCTCTGACTTCAGGTACAACACAGAGTCGTGTCATCTGCAAACATTCTCAGATGACACGGCCATTTGGGGTGCATGAGAAATGGACAGGAGGAGGAATACAGAAAGCTGGTGAAGAACTTTGTCGACTGGTGTAAGCTGAACCAGCTGCAGCTAAACATCAGTAAGACTAAGGAGATGGTGCTGGACTTTAGGAGGTCCAAACCTGCCTTGTCACCAGTCACCGTTGATGGTGTTGATGTGGAGGTGATCTGGGTGTGCACTTGGACAACAAGGTGGACTGGAGCTGTAACACTCCCGGGGAGTACAAGAGAGGCCAAAGCCACCTCTACTTCCTGAGGAGGCTGAGGTCTTTTGGTGTGTGCACTAAGCTCCTATGGTCATTCTACCAGGTCTGCTGTAGCGAGTGCTTTATTCTATGCTGTTGTGTTCTGGGGCAGCAGCATTAAATAAAGTGCCCTAAATATGTTAATCAAACTTATTAGGAAGGCTGGCTCTGTTGTAGGAGTCAAGCTGGACTCTTGTGGCAGAACAAAGGACGCTCAACAAGCTGTTAGACATCTTGGACAACACCTCACACCCCCTGCATGCTGCACTGGATAAACAGAGAAGCACATTCAGTGTCAGACTGTTACAGCTGCGCTGTGTTAAAGAGCCCACTGCTGTAAGGCTCTACACCGAGTCTCCTTACTGCAGAGATGGTGCTGATCTCCTGCTGTCTGAACTGAGCTAAACCACATCACTATATCACCTCTCCTGTTAATACGCACTGTGCCATATATCATGCTACTGTAATGACTCTCTCACTGTGCACTTTACACTGTAATATTTCTGCTACTCCTAGTTATGCTTATACTCATTGTGCTTTTAGTTCACCTCATACCACTCAGTGCCTCATGTAAATACGACAAATGTGTCTTATATGCCATGTAAATATGCAAATAGATATACTTTTATTTCTACTCTCTTATCCTATAACTTACGTCTATTTTTAATTTCTATTTTTTTTCTGCATAGTTTATGTAAGTTTATGTGCAATTATATGTGTTGCTACTGAAACACTGCAATTTCCCTTCGAGATCAATAAAGTTCTATCTATCTATCTATCTATCTATCTAAAATGGGCATATATTTTTCAGAAAACAAAGAGAGAGAGAGAGAGAGAGACAGAGACAGAGACATAAGAATTTTATTGAACTTGTTTTTAATGGGTTTTAACAGGTGTGATAATCAGTGGTGCTGAGTTTTTACCTCCCTCATAGAGACCGGGGCACATGTATGGATAGAGTTTCTCAGTGAAAGACTGACCAGTGAAAGAGTAGATATGAGACCTGACCTCAACATCATAGAAGGAGACCAGACCCTCCTCATGATCCACAAACACCCCCACCTTCTGGGGAGCCTGTTTTAAGGAGAGAGGAACACGAGGAGATTCCAGAGCTTTATATTCAGTCTCATTTCTCAGCCACACAGTCCAGTGTCCATTCTCAGGACTCAGTATAACCTGTCCCTTCCTGTTAATGGACTCTCTGGCCACTCCTAATGTCCATGCTGTCCTCCCTCTGACCTGAACCTCATAGTAAAATCTCCCTGAGGAGAACCCCTCCTTTCCCAGCACATTGGCACATTGATCAAATCTCTCTGGTTTGTCAGGGAGATTCTGTCGTTTGTTTCCAACTCTCACTTGTTTTCCATCATCAGACAGAATGAGGTTAGGATGAGCTGAATCAGGATCCAGAGTCACATCCACTGAGAGAAAAACACAATTTAAACACATTTAACACTAAACATCATATAATCCAGCAGACTCATATTTTTACTTAAATATAATAATCACTGAGAATTCACACACCTGCATATTGTTGAATTCTCTTCATTTCTGTGTTAGAAAAATAAAGGATGATATAAATTGTTATTAGAATCTATGAAAAAATCTATAATTAGATATATAAATGCTCCACGTCCCAAACATTCATTTTAAGTATCTGGATCTTAATGACGTCTTGAATTATTCTACCTACAAATTCATTTCTGCTGAACATTACTGTCATTTCTAGCTGCTGTTCTGCAGCAGTGAAATACGTAACGATAAAGTGCCGCCCCATTATTTACAGAGAGAGCTCTCTACTGTCTTCATCCTCAGAGTTTACATCTATGATGCAGTCAGCACAGTTCAAAACCAACACCCTGAGAGTTTCAACACTGTCACTTCAACCACGTAAACTTGAGGAACATTCTCCCCAAATTTTCCCAACATATTTCCATCCCAACAAGGTGAGAGAATACACTGGACCCTGTTTACACCAAAACAAAGGGAGCATAAACCTCCACCTCAGACTCTCAGATCACAACAGGGTGACGTTCCCTGCTTACCAACAAAGAGAAACCAGTCACAAAACCATCAAAGTGTGGACAGAGCAGTTTCAGTGCTACAGGACTGTTTCAGCTGCACTGACTGGAGCATGTTCAAGGATGCTGCTACATGGAGAGATCACACAGACTGATAAGCATCGTCTGTCAGTCTGTGTGATGTATGTCCGTTTCCTGCTAAAGGCCTGTGATGTTGCACTCATATCAGGTGACAGAGCAACACTCAGGGCAGCTAGAAAGAGCCTCACTGCTGGCATCAACTGGCCTGCACTAATGACTCTGCCCTCCCAGGTGCTTTAAACAGCTTCTATGCTCATTTAGAAGCGTCCCCACCAGTGACCACATGCTGTCTGTGAATGAGGAGATCCCTGCTGAAGGTGAACCCACGGAAAAACAAGTGGCACTACAGTTGTGGGGCTTATCTCCAACAATGGTGAGACAGCATACAGAGAGGAAGTGAGGCAGATGGAGCGCTGGTGCGATGACAACAATCTCTCTCTGAATTTGACCAAGACAAAAAAAAGATGATTGTAGACCTCAGAAGGACACAGACGCCTCATAGGGCCGGCCTGCCAACACCCATCCTCAACTGCTGCTACAAAAGCATCATAGAGAGCATCATGACCTGCAGCAACACTGTCTGGTATGGAAACGGCTCCATCTAAGACTGGAAAGCACTGCAGTGGGTAGTGAAGACTGCCCAGTCCATCACTGGGTCAAGCTTCCCTGCCATCTACAATAAATGATGTAAAAGGAAAGCATGCAGCATCAAGGAGGATCCCTCTCATCCACCCCACGGCCTGTTTACACCTCTCTCATATGGAAGAAGACTACAGAGCATCAGGGCCAACAGACTCATGAACAGATTATTCCTGCAGGCAGTCTGAATGGATCTACCTGATGGACCTTTAAACATTCTCACTTTATCTGCTGCACTTTAACTTCCTCACTCAACCACTTTACTGTAAAACTTTAACCTCAATCACTTTATATGCACAGTCACTTTAATCTGTACACTGCCTGCAGTTTTATTAATCTTTGTGACTGCATTACAAAACTGTTGTTAATTATCAATTAAAAATACACACAGCTCTGTCATTGTTGCTGCTGTGGACCAAGATATGGTCTGTTTTCTCTCTTGTCCTGAGCTCAATGGTTGTATAGTTGCAATTAATAAAAAATTAGGGGAAAATTCATTGTATAGTGCTTGTATAGTTTGTATTGATTGTCTGTCTGCACTGTTTTCTGCTGCTGTTCTGTGTTAAATGCAGCACCGTGTCTTGGAGAAACTACATTTTGTTCCTCTCTCAACACATCTGTGATGAGAAGATATGACAATAAAGCTCACCTTGACTTTGACTTGAACATCAAAATGTCTCACTGATCAGTAAA